TAAAAAAAAAAAAAAAAAAAAAAAAAAAAAGGTTAATTTTCCATTAATGGGGAAATTTTTTGTTTTGTACTAGAAAAAATGCAAAATTTTCACTATGTTTTCACATTTTACCCCCTGAAATAAGTCATTTACACCAGCCAATTTTATTTTTAAATGAAAGAATATATCCTTTGCTTTCAGAAAATACCTAGTTTCATGGGGTTCAGATCAAGTTTCCTTGATACTTGTGTAGATGATGATAAAACAGTCATTTTTCAATATTTTACCCCTATAAAAGTATGAAAATCCAGAGAAAATAAGCGGTGAGAAAATGACTTTGTGATGATTTTTATTTGGGATAGAAAACTTTTACCATGGCAAACCTGAATTGACTTTAAGTTCAGTGGGGCTATAGGAAACCTCAAACAGCTGTGTAATAATAAAAATTAATAATTTACCTTGAGCTTCCAGAACTTCCACTGCTACTGGTGCTACTGGAAGAGACACTTCGCCGTTTCTTGTCTCTGCCTCGTTCTGTTGGCCCCATCACTGTAGTGCCACCACCAGTGTTGCCGCCGCCGCCACCGCCACCCCTCCTCCTCCACCGCCGCCGCCCCTCCTCCTCCTCCTCCAACCCCTCCAGCACTACCACTGCTTGGCTTCTTCTTTTCACGGACTGGTGTCCCTCTTGCCCTACAATAAACAAATTGGAACCAACATTCAGCTGACTTGCCAAAGCTATTTTTTCATGTTTACTAGTCACAAAATGGATCTCTTCTCTGTAATTCGCAATATGAACTTCAGTAAATCATGCCAGATAGTTAATTTCCATTGTTTATAGCAGTGCTTGGAAGGAAAGTGTGGTTTCACTGCACCACCGAAAACTTTTTGAAAAACAAGTTGACAAATCATGGGTCTATAGCCATGACCCCGAAACTGAGGTTGAAAAAAGCACAAAGGAGTCAAAGCAATTTAAAGACACTGTTGACAGTTTTCTTCAACCACAAGGTAATTGTTCATCATGAGTATATTTCACCTGGTCAGACAGTAAATAAGGAGTATTATTGTGACATGTTGCAGCATGTTGTTCATTGGAAAATGACAGAATTACGTGCCTGGTGAGTGGCAACTCCACCAGTGCAAAACACCTGCCCATTTAGCACAGCTACACAAGCTTTTTTGGCCAAGTACAACATTCCCCAGGCCAGACTATATTTAGTCGTCCCCCCACGAGGGCGTCATGTGGCACAAGGCCTTTTTAACGTGGGCTTTCCGAGCCATTTGGCTAAAAAAAATAGCCCATTTGAACCCGTATAAACCGGTTCAGGGGCGGTTTTACCTCCCGAAGGAGACTACGCCCTTGGCATAGCTCTTTAGGGTTCCTCTCCATCCGTAGACAGAGAGTTAAACCGAACCGTCGCTCAGAAAGTGAGCGGCAGACAACAACCATATTCCCTAGATCTTGCTCCTTGCAACCTTTCCTCTCTTTCCAGAAAGAAAATAAATCCAAGAGAATGCAATGAGGCAGCAGGCTGCTCGCCATGCAAAAAAAGAAAAGAAAGGAATTCCAGGAATGCTTCCTTCAATGGATTCAATGCTGGATAAAGTGTGTGGTTTCAGAGTGGAAATTGTCTAAGGCTGCCAGCATCTATTACAATTCTGCTTGGTTCTGTTGGCACTGTCCATATAGTTTTCCTTCAGGTTCAAGTCTTTCAGGAGTCTGTTGTATTGCAATTTAAGCACAGTTCTAGATTGACAGCAAGATCTCATCATTTTACAGCTGAAATGGTTAGATGTAAGTTCTATATTATATACTAATAGTTTCTTTTCTCACATGTGGAACTCTCTTCCAGCTTTTTGCTTTTCAGTCAAACTTGATCTTCAAAAATTTAAATACAATGTCAATCATTATCTCCTGTCTTAATTACTGTTCTTATTAATGTTTTTTTTCTTATAGTCTTTCACAATCAGTAACCACAGGCATCTTAGTAGCTTTGTTGTCTTGCTTGGGGTGAAATGATTAAAACCAAAAAGTAACATGGCAAAATAAAACTATTTTATAGACTAATATATATTGCATGTTGAAAAAAAATGTATCCAGTGACAAGAGTATCTTGGAAAATAATGCTTAATAGACTAAGTTTCCATGTCACATTTTTTTCTATAGATTTGCAGAGTATTTTCAACTTATCTTCTCTACAGATATATTCTGAGAACTTTAACAGATTTGCAGAGTATAAAAAAATGCATAGCTCACATTTTCTACAACATCCACAACAAATAGTTCATGAATTTGACCTTATATCAAACATGATTTAAATATCTATTTTGTTACACTTATCTTAGAACAAATGCTAACAGTAATTCCCTAAAGTGGGTAAAAAAAAAAGTCTGCCTAACTTGACACTATCTACTGTTTTTAAAGGTAGTAGTGGCATTTAGAAATTGCATTTATTCAAATATTAATGTAGGTATAGATAGTGTCAAAAGTATTCCACCACTTTCAAATTGTTTTTTTTTCTTTCTTTATTATACACTTGTATTTCCTTAATAAAAAAATAATAAATCAGACAAATTATGGAATTATTATGTTTAAGTCTGTTTTTGGAGACTTTTGATGTTTTGCTACATGTTACCAACAGCCAAGGCAATCAAAACAAAACTAGTAGCCTCTGTATCTCCAACATCTGGAAACTTTGGTTTTTCAATCAAGAGAACCAACATTAATAAAGGTGTTAATTTAATACAAATTCAAATACCGATAATATTAAAACAGGATATAAGTCTGTAGTGATCTCATGCAAAAGATTTTGAGTCTTTGAAATTTTGATTCAACATAAACTTTGCAATCATATAAATGATTAGTCCATGCATTTCTCATTGATAGAACTTTTACTTGATTTTAACTAGAATATGAAACAAAAATAGTAATGCAATACATTTTCCTATATGCTAACCTACAGTAAATGCAGCATTTTGAAGGAGGGTGTAAGCATAATAGTGGCACTCTTGTAACCATCCAATGCTACAATGATATAAAATTAACTACCAGTGAATGAACTTCAAGACAGTTGTTAAAACTAAAAGAATTCCCTCATTCACTTTCTCAATGTATCCAATAGAAAGTCATATGTAAACATCCAAAAGTTGCCTGGTGATTTTATTTGTAATTTTTTTTTTTTATTTTCATTTTCTTTTCCTCTATTTAAAATTGAAGATAAAAATATACTAAAAACAGACAAGTTTAAATTTTCAGTCTTTAAATATAGCTTTTGTTATAGTTATCGGTTCCTTAATATGTTAATACGAGGTTTTAAAGCGTCTTCTTACTTAATGTAGGCATATTTTTTGAGAGGGTGAAATGATGACTTGTCTCCAGATGTACTTTAGAGGCATGTTTTCAAGGCAGATGAATATTAAAAAAATACTGTCCCTATTATAAACTAAAATGCTAGCTATCCACGAACAACTGATCTAAATTTTCAATTTTCTAACAAGAACCATACTATCCTCCACTAGAACAAGAAGTGCTATACAATCTTCTCGTTCCTTCAAATATTAAAATTTGCCTTGTAAAATTTGATACAACTACAGAACAACATTAGAATAAAAAAAAACAAATAAAATAAATGTATTCATTTTTTAAAAATAAACGAGTCTAAAAAAAATCTTCAAAAACATGATTTTAACAACAAAAAAATGTTTATAAAATACAAAAATTTTAAATGAAACCTAATGAAGCCTTTAATTAAATCAACGTATATATTTTTACATTCAACATAAGATGGTTATTAATTCTTAGCGAGAAAATACACAGAACATTTCTTAACTAATATTACGAATAATAATAATGGACATTCAATTTAAGAGGAAACAAATAAGGGGAAATAATGTTCTTAGGAAATTACGGCTATTGTGGAAAAAATTAATAAAATTTAATTCTAATATTAAAAAAAACAAACAAAAGAAAAACTTTCGAACATATATTAAGTAAATGAAAAAAAAATATCCATTTTTTAACGGTTTTTTTCTTTTTCTTTGAATTTCTTATTTAATATAAAACTAAATAGAATTTTAGGGGGAAAAATGGCTCCACTCTTTAGCAACTATTCGGGATAACTCAAGTTGTCATAACTTTAAATCGATTAAAAATAAAATGAAAGTTACAGAGCAAAACTATATTTTTCGTATTTTCTTTTCTTGGAAATAATTTAATATTAAACAAAAAACAATTATATGGTTTCTTAGCCTCCCAAATATAGGTTTTGTTTTGACACAGTTACAAACAGAACAGACGAAGTCGTTAATCTTCTGAACTCAGTGAGTGATAAATTACCGATCTACACATATTTGATCAGATTATTTAAGAAAATTAAAGTCTAAAAGTAAATAAAAAGACGAAATTACTATAAAAACCGATTCGAAAGGAGATTTCTCTTTATTTAGTGTGCGAATTAACCTTAAACTTTTTACTTTAGGGGTAAAAAGCTTAAAAAAAGGTAAGTTTTAAACAATGCAAAACATACCAGAATGCAGACTTAAACCAAACAGATACAAGAGTATATATGAAGCATAAGTAATGAACTACGCCACTGTACATAATGAATACTTTTAATTACTTATTTGAAAACATTGGAATAAAAAAAGCCGGTCTCGTCTTCACGTGTTGTACCTAACCACCATATCGAAAGGGGCCTTTTTACACATTCGAGATTTTGCAGGCGAATTTTAAGCGCGTATTGTCACTAGCTTATATTTAGAATACATCGAAATCATATAACCAATAAAAGGCGATTTACAACAGACAATTATTAATGAAAAAATTGCTTGCTAGAAGCCGACAGAAAAACTTACATTATAATAAAAAAAACTAACGCTTGAAGTGTTGCTTACACGCCGTCTCCGCCGCCGGAATAACTAACAGAAGGTAGCATTTGTATCGGACACTGTGATTGGTTGAATGAAAGACAGGTTTAATAATCTGACCAATTGAAAGCAAGATCACACTCAACACGAAAAAGATGGCGGCGTCCGTGAGTGGCAGTTCCTTAGAAGATAAACTTCTAGAGGAGACTGCAACTCAATTCTTTGAGATGGTGCCTATACGGAGGATGAAATGGGGCGTAAGTTGTTAATCTGAAACAAATCTTAAATTCATGCCGGGCATTTGATAACAATGATTCTTTCGGTTACTATATAAAATGTCTTCTCTTACCACTACCACATCAACAACATCACCACCAACATCCATATGTACTACTTTGTCTTGTTGTTTACTAGGCTTGCTACTACTGCATTCGTTTTTAGGATAATAAAAAAAATAATATCTGGTTTATAATTCTTCTCTTTCAGTTTATTTTTATATTATAAAATATCCAAATCTAAATAACTCCTGGAAGTTTATTTTTTTTCTTTTTTACAGAATTTTATTTTACATTTTTTTTAAAATGGTTCGGTCTTTTTCGCCACTGATTTCGCATCGTTCAATTAGTCACAAACAAAATGGTCTTAAAATGGGGGATTGATTACTCCGTGTTTATATTTATTTATTCTGTTTTGTAAGAATTTTTAAAATAAATTAATGCAATAATTTGGGTACTTTGTCAGCGACAACAATTTGAAATGCTGTCAAAATACTGTCAATTAGATTTAATTAAAAACTAAAGCTGATCTTAAATTGAATATTCATTTTGTTTAAAAATTTAAATGCTTAAAATAAAAAATAAAAAAGTCGTCGTTCAATTTTTCTTTAACAAACTTATTTTTCTTTTCTATATGTAATGATACAGTTTGCATCCGAATGTTAAACTAAATTATGAATTTTGTTTATTTAGAATAAATCACAAAATGCTGTATATTTTTTGTTAGAACATACATTTCTTCATTATAGAAAAATCTTAAAAACGTATCAATAACTTATCAACTGATGATAGAATTCCAATTAGCACGCAATTTTTTCAGGATTTATGTACTAAATGTGCAGAAGTTTTCCACTGAGCTAAGTACTTTATTTACTAAATCTACTTTCTTTATGTTCGTCAAGTCAAGAATATTGTCAGACTCAAACAACAAAATAAGTCAGGAAAAAATAATTAAAGATTAAAGAATTAGTCGATTTTAATTTTTTTTTTCCTAATTTATTAGTCATCTGCTCTTGTCTTTGTTTTTTTTTTCAATAAGCAATAAAACCTAGTGGATTCGTGAATTTAGTGACAGTAATTGTGAGTTCAATACCTGGGCCGAGCAGTGTGTACAGACAGTGTACTATACTTGAACTTGGTGGAAACAGGGGGCGAGAAATAACTGAGCATTTAAAAATAACTAAACAAGAGATATCCCTAGAACATGGACAGTGAAACGGAAACAGTGTAAAGCCCCCCCGTAGATTTAAAGGGTTCAGTTCAGAATTCCTGTAGGTTACCCGGATCGTAACACCTGATGAAGGCCAGAGGACACAACGGCCGAAACTTTGTGATGAGGACAATAGTCCGAATGTAAATAAAATAACTCCTCATCCCAGAAATTCAGACAAATAATTTTATTCAGTTCAGTGTGAAAATAATTATTTCAACTACTTATCCCCATTTTTATTTTTGTAACTTACGTTTCAGAGGGAGTTCTTCAACTTAACATCATTTTCAAATATTTGGTTTTAAAAATCATAGGTAATTTGACATTTCTAGGATTAGAAGTTATTATTTTTACACTAGGACTATTGTCCTCATCATTGTTATTATGATAACAAAGGTGAGGACAATAGTGTACTGTAACTGTAGTGTAAATCATGTAAAAAGCATATTTGGCAACATTAATAGCAATTTGTAGATCATAAATATTTAAACTTTTTTTTATTTTTTTTTTACTATTAATAAAAGCAAGTGTTAAGAGCCTTTGTTTTCTGGTTTTAAAATAAGTTGCATTATTAAATTAGATCTAAAAATCATTTAAAAACCTTGAAGACTAATAAGCTACATTAATTCTAGAATTAATTAAATTGTTTTAAATGTCATTTTAACGGTAGATTTTGATCTTCAACTTTAAACTATTGAAAAAAAAAATTCTGTATCAAAATGAACAGAATTTCTGGGATGAGGAGTTTTTATTTTTGCATACAAAATGAATATGGAAGCGGAAAAAAAAGTTAATGATTTGGTTGTAAATAATTATTTTACTATTTTTACATATAAAAACCTTGACTTAGCAAAAAATCTGAATTAACAGCTGCCTTGAACTTTATAATTTAGTTACAATGTGGTAGTAAACTTTACCACATTGCAGTATATTTGGTGGTCAAAAGAGCTACTGGTTTTGTTTTGAAGTCCTGACTGTTGGTAGGCAGTAGCAAAACATCAGTGTCAGTGTAGCTCTTCATTCTCTGCAAGCATCTGAATTTTTATCTTTTAACTACCTGTGCAACAAGGAGTTTTTGTCATTTTAGTCTAAAAAATTTTTAGGAAAAAAATTGAAAATATGTATTCATATTTTTGTCTGAATTTTTCAGTTAAAAAATGAATCTTTTTAAAAAATAAGTAAATAAAATATGAACAATTTTTTTTTACATAGCTTGTTTGAGTGCATTGTAATTGAACACATACAAAAAAGTGATTTCAAATGATTGTCTTTTCTATAGATAATAAATATTAGATAACTTTCTTTCTCTGTTTTGAAATATCAAGAAAATTACAATATTTGCATTCCTGGAATTTAAAACAATGTTCTATATTGATTTTTGCATTAATTTTCAAAAAGCGGATTATCATGTTATCAAAATGCAATGTTTTCTGGCTTCATCATAAAACATTACCTTTCCTTTATAAAAAAAAATGCATTTCTAACCCTAATGTGGTAAGAGAACTTAAAAGAATGTTCCTTAATCTTTGATATCTTTAAAATGGTATAATTTAAGGTGGAATGCATTAGTCTTCCCACAATTTCATTTATAAATAACTGATGTCTGCAGTTGGTATTATTCTTGACATTTAATACTACTCCAGATATTTTCCATTTTAATTTCTTGGATGATTTAACATTATTTACATGCAGTTTGTTATCATAATTGATAGTAGTTTGAAACTGATTGGAATCAAACCATCTGTTGGAGAATGGTACCAACATTCAAATAGATAATCTGATGGAAATGTTGATGTATGCATGCACAACATTCTTGCAACTAGAATCTGACAGGAGGAAGGTGTGGGTATAGGTTCACTATAGTCACCAGTAATGGGGAATATGGAATACTTCAAGATGGCTTTAGGAACAGCACCATTAAAACTAACACTATGACTGAGATATTTAAATGATACCCTCATATTCAGGTCTCACCAGGAAGTTGTACAAATACTAGTGGATCATGTGAACTCAATAAGACTTTCAATCTAGTTCACAATGAAAGAAGAAAATAATCAGCTAGTCTTCCTGAATGTATTAATAATAGACATGTAAATAATGTTAATACTCCAGATACTATTTCATCTTTCCAACTCTACATGAAATTTAAAAAAATGATTTGATTGTTCCATATGAATCAAATAGAGTACAACAAATAAAGCAGATAAAGGTTATGTTGAACTAAGACAACATGCGTACATGGTAATCTTTTGTATAGTCTCCTTCGGTATCACACTAACTTGCTAGATTATTAACCACTGCATTGTAGTATTCTTATAGTATGTATTATCAACAAGACTAGGATATCATTTCAAAGATGAAAATGTCCCCAAAGCAAAAGAACTTAGTTTTTCTCCACTTAACACCTCTAGTTTGTTAAACTGTGACCTCTACTTTAACCAGCTTTACATTAAACCTGGCAGTCTTTTCCTTTTTCTCTTTGCATTTAGACTTTTTCTCTTTAATTTTGCTTTTGATTTCCCTCTGCCTCAACATTGAGGGATCGTCAACTTTATACACCTCTACATGTTTGTTTTATTGTTTCTACTACAGAATTATCAATTTGAAGGCTCTGAAGTAGGACCTGACACCCAACGCAAAGTTCTGACTGCCACAGTCACAAGCCCTCTGTGTGAAAAGTACCCACCATCTCTAAGCTACCAAAGAAGCTTTATGAAACACTTTGTGCATAAAGTAAGTTATGCTTTCTATTCCTTCCTTTCTTTATTGTTGGATACATTACTCAATTCAAAGTTTGGATCTCAAAACTATTAGTTTTAAATTATAACACCATTTAATTTTCAAAATAAACTTTCTCTTGTCTAGTCTAGTGATGTACATTTTAATCTCTATTGTATAACTGAATGTTTGGGTGGCACAATGGTTATCAACATGAAATGTGGAATTGGTGAGCCATGTACAAATTCTGATCAGGTCTGGTTTTTTTTTTTTTTTTTTAATACAATGATGTTCACCCTGTACAAAGCCCAGGAGCCATTCAAGGTACAGGGTTATAAAGTAAGAGGCACGGTTTAGGCAGATATGTAGATAACAGTTAACTATATACTTGAACAGGTTAAGATTGTAATGATTGAAAAGGCATCCTCTTGGGTGTCTGTTCCAGAAAGCAATTTGTGGGAAGGAGCTGCTTGAGTGGGTTTCATTCACTTTGCACTAATGCCCTTGGGAAAGGTTTGACTCCATCTATTCGCGCTCTAGCTGTAGGTCAAATAACAGGACAAACTTGACTAGAGGAATGAAAACTTTGATTTTAAACTGTTTGGGTAGACATGTTCACTGAAGTTCAAGAAGGATATTCCTTGCATGAAAGCCTGGTCTGATCATTCATTGTATTTGTCCCTCCACCACTCATCCTGGACCCCCCAAACACTATCAATGAAGAATCTAGTGGTTTATGAAATTTAAATCTACTCAATTAGGCCAATCAATTGTAAACTGTCCTAAGTGCTTTTACTGTTTTAATAACAATTACTGTTTAAATTTACTTCATTAATGCAGGTTTCCAACTAAGGTCTTTCAGTTTATTTTACAGGACAACAATGTAACATTATATACAGGGTGTGATGGGTAAATTGACACCATTTTATATTAATTTCATGCATGCATGTTGTTTGTTTGTTGACTGCACAGTATAGTAGGTTCTGTTGGACACCATGATGCAATTCACTCTGCCAAAAATTTGGAGACTGCATGCTATACTGCTTAGCATTCATGTCGGAGTGTTTAGGTGCCAATCTGTGTGATGAAAGACATGATTTATTTAAGAATTCAAAACGAGGGCGAACATGTCTTGCCTGCAAAGTAATGACAAAAAGAAATATGGCTGCTATTGAAGACACAATTTATGCACGCTTATCTTGTCCAAAACGAGATGATATTTGCACACATGCAAATTTTGGCTGTCTTGAATAGCATAAAAAGCGGGATGCCAGCAGCACCAAGTGTCAGGAAGTCATTCAGCGGACTGCGTGTAATAGTTGGACGTATGAATTGAAAGACAGACAAAGAGGAGGTTGAAGTAGGTGCAGCTGAGTTGGTATCTGTTTCACAACTGTCCAGTGTAACGGCTGAGAAACGGAGTCACGCAATCCATTTCCTTGAGGTGATCGAAGAAGAAAGAAAAAAAAACCCTCATCATTTATTTTTTTTTTTTTTTTCCTCCTACAATCTGAGGATAGTGCAGAGGATTCAGAAAGAGTTGGATGACTGTGCGCCATGCCACATAAGCAGAAGAACCCAGTTATAACTGTCAGACAATTTCTGTGTCCACATCACCCCTTACATCTGGCCACCTAACTCCCCAGACTGCAACCTCCTTGACTGTGTGGGGCAAAGTTGAGTGAGAGAGCAACAAAACTCCTTGTAATACCAAAGATGAGTTGAAGACAAGGATTATGGTAGCATTCATCAACTTGAACAAGGAGACTGTCCAGAAGACATGCAGGAGATTTCAAGGTTATCTGAAGGCTGTGGATGAAGCCAATGGCGATTTTATTGAATAAATTTATTTCGTATTTCAAGATATTTTTGTCTAATTTTGGTAAATATGTTAAAATGAGATGCCAGTGTTATTTTCATTTTTGTGTAATTTATCCATCGCGCCCTGTATGGTCAATCATACTTACCATGTTCTGTTATTATGGTAATGGTAGGCATTACTTAACACCAATAATTGAACATATCTCGTGTTACCATGAAAATGGAATATCTCATTAAGTAGTTAGAACTGTTTGCTAATCTATTGTTTTTTGTTTAGTGTTAGCTTTCTGTGGATATTTTTTACTGTTAATTATTTAAAAAGCAGAATTCTTTTTTATATGTGACAATTTGATTGTATAGATGTCAAAAATATAAACAATGGAGTTGCAAAATTTCTTAAATATTGCCATATTTTTTTCAGAAAATTAATCTCTTAATTTGCTTGTTTCTGTCATAATTATTTGTCATTTGGAGTCTAGAATTAGAATTTTTTTTAAACTGCTAGTAATCTAAATTAAATTTAAAAACGTTTGTTTCTAACCTTATAAATTTTGATTGGATCTTACATCAAGAACTTTTGCTTTTCATATTTGTTGTAGTCATTGTGCAGTTTTCTTAACCTGCTGCTGTTTAGAGTTTTATGGTTATGCATATTTCTGTTAAAAACATTTAATCTCAGATCAAGTAATGACCAATTCACATTGATATTTTAGCTTGAAACTTGTGATGCTGAAATCTGTGATGAAGTCTATGAGGCTTATACCGATATACTCAGTCAGAAGGAAGAGGAAGATGACACACTATGTTACAAGACTTACTCTCTGGTAAGTAAAATACTATCTACTCTTAAAACCTCATTGTCATTTAAAAATCTATTACTTCTTTAAACTTTATTCTCTAAGAAATATTTTAAATTGTAAATTAACCAGAGTAATTTCTTAAAATCTTTTAACAATTCCTAAACTTAGGATTTAATAATCTTTTGGCTTACTTCTTAATCTTTTTAACTTATTTTAAATTCATCTAATTTCTAGTACAACAGGCTAAATTTGAAAACATGACATTTTTCTCCATCATATTTCCAGTATAATTTGATTTCACATGTCTCTGTATTTATATTTCAGCCATACTCAAAAACAGTCAGTCTTCAGGAATCTGTACACCTGGTGGCACAAGGAACAACTGGACTGAGCACTTGGCAAGTAAGTAAACATATGCATTGAATTCTCAACTTGTATGCTCTCATTTTACTAACTTTCAAATTTTCAGAGACAATGAAATGAACATTGTGAGAACTATTTAGCTATTTTATGATGCAATATGTTATACAGTGCAGTAGTTTTAGTGTAATTCTCAGTAAATGATGCGAATTTAGAACATTTTGTCTTGAAGTTTGTGCCCAACAGTATTATGTTGTTATCTATTTTTTGTTTTTATTATGATCTAACAAATCTTATTCGTTGAGTATCCTTTTTTGTAATCTTACAATTTTTTTTACAGTTTTTGCTTATCAAATACAGTAAAAAACGAAAAACCCAAAAAACTGCATATTTTGCTTCTGGTGATTCATAATTAAAATTCTGGTTTGTATATATCTTCCATTCAATGTATATAATACAAAAGATATCTTTATTTGGATTTATTCTTAAAATAGTAAAATTTTGAAGCCAGTTTGTAAGCAAAAACCCGTGGAGATTAGGTATTTCTGTACTTTTTTTTTTTTTTTTTTTTTTTTCAGATTATTTTTAAGACAAAAAGCTCAAAAATTGAAAGCTATGAATCTAATTTTTGGTGTCGGTACTTATCACATCAAAACCCAGCTTGCAATGTTGTTGTGTTGTTTTGTTTTTTTTTTTGTTTTTTTTAGTGAAAAATCAATGTGCCCTAATGTGTAGGTGTAAAGCAGTATGTAACCAATGTAGATGCAAAATCTTTACCTGTCAATTTACTCACCCACTTGTCTAATCTTTCTTTTATCAATTTACTTTCTTACCAACATATAATTTAAGAATAAACCAACATAAAAAAAGAACTGTAGCTTTTTTTTTTTTATCAAACTATATAGGTAGAACTAAGCAGAGGTTGGAAAGGATTATAAGCTAACTTGTGCATGCTAATATTCATAAAGAGCAATGGAATAATATGCATAGGTGCATCAAGACATCCAGGTGTGAGATAGCTGAACAACCATTATGTAACTATGAGTGTGTTGTGTCATATAAAGACATCTTCTCAGGTCTGAGTTGGGCAAATTTGGACTTTCACTTGAAAGTACTGCAGACAATAGACAAAGGGAGTTGCTTTTGGGCTTGAATATAATTTGTATGTAATCGTCATTAAATTACATAGTAAATAAACAAGCATTATAGGACAAATTTGGAGTAATAAACATTAAAATATGTCAATTACAAATGATGCAAATTTAATGTTGCTTGTTTATACTTTAAGCTTAATTTTCATTTGAACTATTAATTTTCTCATTTAATTTTAAAAACTGGAAGAAAAGTTTTACAAATCCACAGGATTTTTTTTCCACCTTTCTTAGAATAGTTCTAAAGAAAATGAATTATTGTGGGGAGTTGGGGATGTTTCTATTGATTACCGTATTTTCCTCCATTTATTTATTTACTCTAGAATTTTGATTGTTTGTAGACAACAGCAGTAAATGTTACATAAACTTGCTTTAGTCAATGTAATTTTAACATTTATTATACAATTAATAGAGAAATTGTAACAGGTTCTCTCTCTTTCTCCTCCCTTGTTATAAAACCTCTAATGTATCAAGATAACTTCCTTGTATGTTATGTCTTTGTCAGCTGTGGCTTCAGAATGCACTGACTGCACCTCTGCAGAGGAGTAAGGGATCCTCCACAGCCATCCTGGGTATGACGATAAATTACATCCTTCTGAACAGGAGGTTTTGAGGAGTATGGGACTACCTCTTAATTGCTGTTCCCAGGTTCACCCTGACCTGGGGTGGTAGCACCTGTTAGGTTCCCAGCTATGGGAAAATAGTTATTACAAACAATATATTTTTGGGGAAAAAAAAATATTGCCAACAATACATCTGACTCATTAAAAACCCTCTTTACAAAAATATGTTATTGAAACTGATTTCTTAGAAAGAATATATATTCTATTCATACAAACCTATCCTAAAAATTTTGTTGGTATTAAATAACCCATTGAGGTTGATATGTTGTAAAACAAAATAAACCTAAACCTTGTATGTCATTCATCTTTTTATTGATGCAAATGTTAAGAGACAGTGTCAGAAATAATTAAGGATGGAGTTTTGACAAGTTGCAATTTTATGCTAATGTTATTAGGTATTACTGTAATTAGTACTTTTTTTTTTTTTCACCATTAATTCATTTTTAACATCCCTCATGGCTACTTTACAACCATTTTATTTTATCATTTAAAAATTTTATTTTCTCTACTTGCATTAATCTTCTCATCTCCATGCATATGTACTTATTGCCTTTTTTTTTAAATTGTTTACTTTTATTTTGTGTTGTTAAAATTTGAAACTTTTTGATGTATTCATTATTTTTTTATTTTTTTTTTTTTTGTTTAGCTCCTTTTAATCCTTTTATTTTTATGTTTTCTTTAATTTTTTTTATATTCTAGGCTGCTCAGCATTTAGCTGAATGGGCAATAGAAAATATTGATGTATTTCAGAATAAGTAAGTAATTGAAAATAAAATCTTTTGCATTTTTTGACAAAGCTTGCTTTTATTTAGAGTGCAAAGTAATTTTTTTTACAAAACCTGAACCACCTAATGTGCCTTTTTTTTTTTTTTTTTTTTTTTTTTTTTAAGGCAGCACAGAAAAGTTCTCTTTCTGAAACCCTTCCATTTATACCTTTTGTCACTTACCATTGGTATAAAAGATATATTCCTTGTGATTATTGCCAATTTGTCAGGTTTTGGACTTCTCACTCTTAAATGTCATCTCATTGGATTTTTTGATTGGGCAATGATCCATAGCTTTGTACAAATACATTCTGAAATTTTATACATTTTCATGTGTGCTAAAATACAAGGATGGGCTGAAAAGTTCTCACCCTAAGAAGTGATCCTAGAATAGATTCTGATGTTTGGTCATTTGCTAAGATTTGGTGAAATGGTTCAGGCCAATAATTTATCGGTAGCTTCTCATAATTTTTATATATTATATATTTTTTATATTCTACAATACCTTTTTAATTTGTTAATTTGGTTAATACAAAACAGCATGTTTATATATAGTGGTTGTACTGGAAAATTTTAAGCTTGACTGACTTTGCAAAATCTGGGCAAACAGTTTTTTTTTTTTTTTTTTTTAAGAACTTTCAGCACTCCTTCTTAGTAACTGTTTAGTTTTCTTTTGTAAACTTGGTTTCATTTTGGAAACTTCTCGCATAATAATAATAATAATAATGTGCTTTATTTTATAATAAAAATACTTATAAGAAAAACTCTGACGTACAAATTAAAGTGATAGTTTATTCTTTGTGGATATAATAAATTTCTGATGTGTATCTTCTGATGTCATTTCTGTAATTTTTTTTTTTTTTTTTTTTCTATCACTTTTGCTATGGTGAATTTCTAATAATGCTATTGTTTTACATAACCAGTAAATGTTTTTGCAAATTAATATATCTAATTGGTTATAATATCAGCTTTATTCACTATAGTCTTATTATTGGTAAATGTATACAGGAAATATTTGACATTCATTGACTGAATGGTTAGTGTTACTGCCAGTTCAAATTTATGAAATATTTTTCTTAAAATGTTTTTTCAGGAAATTAGAGTTCTCAAGTTCACTGTTATTATTCTTTCTGGTATTGTTAGGGGTTTCCTTCCAAGCAGTCTCTGTTTGCGTGACTTCCTGTGTTATTGGTGATCATGTCTTATGGCTGTGTGTGTGTATATATATATATATATATATATATATATATATAAACAAAACACTAAGAAAGTATAAAAAATACATTTTTATATGAAAAATTGACCAACAATACATTTTATCTGTAGTTGAAGCCATAAAATTGCATTCAAAATATTTAGATTGCGACATAAATAACCCATAAAGGTTGATATGCCACTAAACAAAATCAAACAACCAGCATGAAAGAACTTCATGACATTAATCAATATATCCTACAATTTCCTAAACTATTTCAAAATATAACTTTAACAAAATTGCAACATAAAATAACTGCCTCTAGTAATTATATCCACACTAACGTACATGCACAAAAGCTGAGTATTTACCATGTATTCAATTGTGAAAGCAGAATAACATATTTTTATTACTTTAAAGCTCACAAGAAAATTATATTTTGGCATTAAATGACCCATAAAGAGTTGATATGCCATCTAAAACTATTTAGTAAAGCTCTTTGTAAATTAAAGCTGTTTAATTACAATAATTGGAAAACTGTGTCAACAAATTTTTGCTTGTAACATTTTTCTATGTTGAATGCCAAATATGAAAATGAACAAAGATTTTGTTAATTTTTTCTTGAGGAAACAAGAGAAATTTAAAATATCTAATTCCTTAGGTTTCTTGAACAAGACTAGAGCTCATTTCACTTAATTTTTTCTTTTTTTTTTTTTCCAGAAAAATTTTGGAATTGGGTAGTGGTCTTGGCTTGACTGGGATTGTCATCTGCAAGCACTGCCTCCCAGCACATTTCTGCTTTACTGATTGCCATCCTCAAGTGCTGTACCTACTGTCTAAGAACATCGAGCTGAACTTCATTTCAAACAATCAAAACAATGACACCCAGAACAGCACACAAAAAGATATTCAGTTGTCACCTGTCAACTCCAACAATCATAATGATGAAAAGATCATGCGGAAAATCCGTCGTCAACTGAGTCTCAGTGCAGACAACAATCCCTCAAACGACATGACAGACATTATTGAAATCTGTGTGTCTCCCACAACTCCACCAGGCAGTGAAGAGGAAGCCATCCACAAGGAACTCATCAATGAGCTGGCAGACTTTGAGCTGCATTCCAAACTCTGGAAGAAAGATTCAGTAACTCATGTTGCTACGTTGAAAAAGTGTGAAAAGATTAGCATTGCTAAGTTGGACTGGGAGTCATTTGATGACAATCTGCTGAGTTCCTATTGCCCAGAAGTGATTGTTGCTGCAGGTATTATTCTATGCATTACCTTTTTATTACTCTTCAAGATTTATTTTCACCTGCTTTAATAAACAGCAACATGATTGATTTGCTAAAGTACTCTCTCACATACTCTTTTCAGGCAAGACAATCATAGCAATGAATTTTTTTTATCTAAAAACTGGTTTCACTGTAAGGCGACTTTCTAAGTGTAGTTTAGATGTGGCTCAAGGTCGAAAATGGTTACCAACCAAAAACGAATCAGTTCAGTCTGCTCTGCTATTTAACCTTTAGCAGGTGGGAAGAAGAAATGGATTTATACCTTTCCCTTAGAGTATTAGTAAAATATGAACATAAAATGTTTAAACTAGAATTTGAACTCTGCGTGTCAATTCCATCTGCATTGTTCTCTTAAAACGCTCCCTACATATATAGAAACTAGTTAACTCCCCTAGATCATATCGGTGTCGAGGTTGGCACTACATATTTTGGTGCTACTGTTTGAGTAGGTAATATAGATTGCCTTTGTACTCATTCAGTTTTCTGTCATAGTTAAGATGACTGGCAATAGGACGGATCAATAACTGTTTGATGTCTTTTGCAAAAACATTATTATTGTTTAACGATCCCGTGTTGCTAATGCCTGCACATGCTTTCAGACCCAATGAGTGCATCCATTTTGGTTATTTTTAAGAATATCTGTGATCAGTTCAGACTTAAAATGAATGAATTGTTGAATTTCTACTTTGAAATACTCTGCTTATGTGATTTTGTTTTAATATTTAATAACTTTCAGTCAAGGCTATAAGCTTTGGTTTCTTCAGTTTTTTTTTTTGTTTGTTTGTTTTTTTTTGTTTTTTTTTTGCACAACTGTTCACCTCAAATGCAGGCGTGGTAAAATATGCCTTGATTTTGCTGCTTGCAGGTTTGTAAGTGATAAAATGTCAGATCAATTTACTAAAAATTCCTTGTTAGATAATATTATTTTTCTCAAATTCAGGTGTTTATTATTGTAGGCACAAATTATTGAACATTCTTTTCTTTGATTACATCTTCAGTACCAAATATTTTAAAACTTTATCAGTGTAATGGCTCACTCTTGCACTTTGTCCCTTTTAAAGCATGAGCAGTCATGGCCCATCACAGTTTCCTGTACTTCATTGCTCTTGGCTACCTTGTATATCTCTACTTGATATTTATTCCTCTCTCCATTTTCACAAACTTGTCAAGTTGATTATTTGGTGTATTCCTCTAATTATTTTGCCTTAACTGTCTTGTGAGTTTTACGCTCAAGCCTTCTTTCCTCATTATGTACTGAAATTTTTAGGTGCCTCTTTCTGATTAGCAACAGTTTCTTTATAGTTCCTATCATCATTAAATTTCCTTTATGGTATTCTTAACACGTGCACACACACCTTAGTGACCCCCCCTCCCCCAATCCATGACAAAATTGCTATATGCGTGATAGTATACATTGGACTGCAGCACTCTTTGTTTTTTCATGTTTCAGCAAGTTATCTTTGAATGTCTGTCACACTTTTCTATCATCCATGAATGAATGGTTATACACTCCTCCTCAATGAAACTGTCATTTATCTTGAAATAATTTTTTTTATACCAGGCTGAACTTGGTTTCCATTTTGCTAGTTTTAGTAATTGTGATAGAAACTGCAAATTTTTTACTTCTGTCTAAAAGCCATGCTTCAATTTAACTTAAAATACTATATTGATTATGTTTTTAGTATTTAAAATAAAGTGATAATTGAAGAAAAACTATTATAGCAAACAAATGCTTCACATCCTGAAATTTGTTAAAAAATTTTTGACTCTATGAAAAACAATATGCAGAATTTCTTGGACATGAAAATTCTCACTGACCTAACATTGTTTTTGTTTTGTTTACTGTTATGCTCTAATAATTCACTCCCTCTCTTCTGATGCTTGTTCTGATATGCCATTCGGGATACATTAATCATTTTGCATTTTCAGAGAACACACTCTGATCATTAATGATTCTTTCTAAGAATATTACTAACTCTTTTATATGATGTGCTTAAAATGTAAACAAGTATGGTACAAAATGTTGAACAAACCTTTCACTTATGTTCACATTAACTCTGTATTTTCTTTTAGGTTATTTATTAAAAGCTTTATGTATCTTCGAGTTTCATAACATTAACCTTGTATTTTGAAAAATCTTTTGCAGATGTTGTATATGATACCACTATCATTCCATCCCTGGTCTTAGTATTAAAAACCTTGTTATCCTTGACCTTAGAGAATGGTCAAAAACCAGTTGCATACATTGCATCAACTGTGCGCCATGAGGACACACGAGATCAATTCCTGTTCACTTTAGGTGAGTGGTGTTATAATAGGTTCAATCATGACCTAGTGATTTTACTTATTCAGCTATTTTTATTATCTATTTATTTTTTTTAATTATTATAAATAATTTGAGTGGGATGACTATGAAGGAGCGATGCTAGAGCTGTGAAATCTTGTATGCATTAATTTCAACTTTTCTTATTAATAACTGTATTGTTTCCTTCCATGTAAACTGACATCTGACTATTCAAAGATGACTTCAAAAGTAACCAGTAGCAACATCTCTTGAAAACAAAATTTGGCATTGTAGTGTTATCAAGTACATGCAGAAATAAAACTTAACCCAAAGGACATTCATGCTGACATGGTTGATATATTAGGGGATGATGCTTCATCTTTATCAACAGTGCAAAAATGTATAGCTGAAAATAGAAGGGGAAGGGATTCTTGAAGATGACCCTTAGTCTGGACATCCTGCAACTGCCACTACCAAGGAAAACATAGATTATGTTCACCACATGGTGATGAATCACAGGTGATTGACTAAAAATCAAATAACCATTGCTATTAGTATATCTCATGAGAGAGTTGTGAATATTCTGCTCCTCAATGAGCTTGGCATGATGAAGGTTTCTGCTTTGTAGTTATCATGTCTTCTGACACCTGATCAGGCTTATCACATTGCAGAAAAATCTGACATGGTTTGAGGCAGATCCAGCTAGTTTCTTTTGAATGTTTCCTAACTCATGATAAGTGTTAGATTCATTACTTTGAGCCAGAGATGATCCATGCAGTGGAAACACCCTTCCTCACCTGCTCCAAAGAAGGCCAAGCTCATTTCATCTGCAGGGAAGGTGATGGCTTCAGTTTTTTGGGATGCAAAATGTGTTTATTGACTATCTTCAAAAGGGCCACACCGTCAATGGAGAGTACTATGCCAACTTGTTGAGGCAGTTAAGAAAGACTATCAAGACCAAATGCCCAGGAAAACTGGCAAAAGGGATCTTGCTTCACAAGATCTTGGTTTCAATGTCTGTTCTGCATGACACTAGCTTTGAACTGGTTGATCACCCTCCCTATTTACTGGAATTGACCCCATACAACAATCCTGTCCCCCAACATAAAAAAACAAAGAAAAACTTGGTTGGGAGCCAAAACTTTGTGGAAACAACAACAACAATGATGATGATTACATTAGTCCTGATCTAAATAAGAGAAACAAAGAAATGTACAGAAAGTAACAATGTTCACTATTATATATTTGTGTGCATGCACAACAATATTCTGTTACTCGTTTTTGGAAAAGAATGCTGGGAATTTTTGCACAGAGACGTCTATTCTTAACCAACTGGCATGTAAGGACATAATGAATTGGTTGCTTTTTACTTTTGCTGAGTGCTTTTATATGACATAGTTGAAGAATAGTTAAGACTGTAGTTTATAATAGTGTTTAGAAAAGCATTTTTCAAAATGGTATATATATTTATATGTAACTTTGCTTCAGTACTTAGATTATTAGCATATCAATATAATGCAGTAAACCACTCTTTCTGTAATCAATCCTACAAATTTTCTAAATTTAAAGTTTAACATTTGAGATTTGTTCTATGAAGTGTGAGGAAAAGAACTTTAAATTTATTAATGTTTAAAAAATGTAAAAAAAAAAAATTACCCCCCCCCCACAACTCCATTATAGATGCAGAAAATTAATTAACTCTGTTGATAATTTGTTAAATTAAAATGTATTAGCAAAGAAAGATTTTACTGACTTCAATCTTGTTTTTATTTTGTAGGTGTCCAAGAACTTCATTTTGAATCAATGGTGCCTCCGAGTGAATATATATTTCATTACGATAGAGCTGTGCCTATTGAGCTATTAAAGATAACTGCAATGTAAAAGAAAAAAGTGAATTAAGCAAATGTCAATCAAACAATCAATCAATGAAACAATCAAATGGATAAAGAATATTTGCTGTAAGTGGTGAGTGGAGATTTAGAAAAAGGTTGAGCTTACATCACTATACGGCTTGGATATGTCTGTATAGGAAAGATATAGATGTAAGCATGTCTTTTGTTGTAAAATACCTTTTGGCTTTGGGACATCAATAATATATAAACTCCCTACCCCAGCTCCTTTTTCTTCAATTCTCTCTCACATACATACATACACACACACACATACATACATATATATATATATATATATATATATATATATATATATATATATATATATATATATACGAAAAAGATTACTTAACATTTAAATATCAATTTTTTTTTTTATCCCAACTTCGAAGTTTCTTGGTAAAAATAAATGATAAAATATAATTTTAAGGTATGTTATATTTATAGCTGAAAGTGCTCACTATCATGGATAGATCATATGCAAATATAAACATTTACACTGAAGTCAACACCGAGCAGTCTTTCATGCTTAAATGCAATCTTCAGGCCTGAAGACTGCTTTCAAGCATTAAATACACTGTCACTACTCAGTCTTGACATCAGCGTCCATTTTTATATTTACATATGCTCTATCCCTGATACTGAGCACTTTTAACTATAAATATAACATACTTTAAAACTATATTTTATCACACACACACACACACACACATATTATATGTCTTTCTCTTTCTTTCTTTAATATTCTTTCATGCTTCCACTACTTTTTTTCCTTTTTAATTACTTTAAGTTTTTGTTTCTTTTTTTTTTTTCATCCTTCTCTATACAAATCCTTCTAAATTTTATACTTTAGTTATCACACAGTGATAACTAAATGTATTTTTCTTGTGGCTGGGAACATTGAATACAAACCAATGAAAAAAAACAAATTTAACTGCAGCCAATTTGGTCTTTCACTTGTGCCCAATTTTTATTCTCATGGATTTTGATTTAGTGGATTTTTATAAGCATGGAAATATCTTGCACTTTGTGTCAAATTATAAAATCATAAGCTTGGTTTTGTAGCTAAATGTTCATTTGGACAGAAAAGTTGAATTCTCACAAGTCATTCACTCTCAATGCCCACTTTGATCAAATTGGTTACATAGACATGAAACCTTTGGCACCAACAGCCCACTGTTAAGTGACTTTATTCACATGCCTTTTATCAAAATTCATGATAAAAAAAAAAATGAATCCCTAAATTGATTAATACCCCAATTTCCATAAAATATGCTCGGTTTTATTAATGGAAGAGTCAAAGTGTTTAATTCTGTATGGTTTAGATATGTGGTTGCCATTGGTGAAAATATCTTCATTAAAGATCAGCTGGACCAAGGAATCTGAAGTTTGATTATAGGTTTTAATCCCACCAGTGGCCTCTGTTTACATGTGCAATGAATGTATAACATTGAAAAATCAAGTTCTTGCAAAGTGACTGTATTTCCAAGCTTTATTTTAATCTGGTAAGTGTGCTATTGAGTCAATTTGGTCTTCTGTGTGGTACCTATAATGTGAGAAATCTGAAATATGCTTGATATTCAAGGGTTATTTTTAAAAAAAAAACATTTTGTGGAATATTTTTTATTATATAAATATTTTTGTCTATCTCTAATCTTTGATACTTTTTTTTTTCTCATTTTTTATGAAGTGTCTAATATTTTTTCTTAAAGAAAAAAAATACTAGTCCATTTTTGCATTGTATGCATAAAATGTCAATAATATATTCAAGCAAGCATAAAAATTGTTGTCTTTTGCTCTAGTCTTGTCAGTATGAAACCCCTTACCTTTTAGGCTTGTTAATTAAAAAATACGAATATTCAGAGTGTGAAAATAATCTAAATTATGTCAAGTACTTGTGGGTTTGGCTCAAGTGGAGAAATCTAAAGACTGATAAGTTAGTGTAGAGCTGGCTTGGCTTATTACCTTTTGTTTACTTTTCAAAAAAAGAAGAAAAAAAAAAATCACCTTACCTCTTGTAGTCAGTACTGTGAGGTTATGTTAATCATGTCTGATAACAATATGAGACTAACTTCTTATATTTGAAATAATTGTTTATTCATTTCTGGACCCCTTCAAATTAACATCGTTCAAATCAACTGGCATGTGGTTTCAGGTCTTTCTTTGAACATTCAAGCTGCTTATTGCAAGGCTGCTAAAAATTCTGTCTTCTACCCTGGGGCATTTATAACTTCTGTCATCCAGTTGTTGTGTGTGTGTGCATGTGTATCCTAAATTCTGCTGGATTCACTTCCTGGTTTATGTTGGTGCACCCTCTGACCTCCTTTGAGGTTCACTTCTGCACTTGGTTACTTCCTAAGTCAACTCAATGATGCACCTAGTACTTTTGACATTCTGAGGTGATACTTGAGTACAAAGCTTACTTTGATATCTCTTTGGGGTAAACCCAGTACATTTTGGGGTTACCAACTCTTCTTAGATCAAGGGCTCTAAATTAGATTCAAACCTGTTATTTCTTGGCATGAATCGTATAATACAGTATTTTTATAATTTGCAATAAGTAAATACTATGTTAACATTAAATTAGATATTTTTTTTTCTGAATCTCAATTTGATTATCTTTTTGTTGTAGAATATTTAGTCCATTAGGGACAAAGCCTCTAAAATTAGGTATTATGATTTTAGTTTGTTTTTTATACTTGTACATTAATTTTTAACAGTTATCAATTGTTAGCTTAACACTATTTCCTAGATACATTTTTATGATTTTAGGTGAAATTTTCTCCATTTCTCTCTTGTAAAATTTATAAATTGGCTGCAATTTCTTGGAATCTTTTTCTCAAACTTGATCTTAGAACTCTGGAAGTGTACTCTTAATATAAAGTCACTTCCACATAACTAAGTGTCTGAAAGCTTACTAGTTTTCTAAAGCCATCTTAAAAATATTTCCTGATAATGTCTTATTACAGTGCTAAGCCGCATGAGATGATAATGCATAAACATTTAATTCTCAGCTAGGCTTCTCGTGTCCCTTTTACAATCACTTGGTAATGAAATACCCATTCTAAATTAGGGCCTAGGATCAAGAATGTAATATTTAAATTATTCATAGGGCATAACTGTTAAGACATTACATTTTAAAAATCTTAAAGTGATTTATTTGTTTGAATTTTAATTTATATTTGATATTTTGAAATATTTTCAATCAACCTGTGTGTTTTGGGACAAACATCCTTTTAAGTATCTAGCTTAAAATTTTGTAAAATGAAATCTCAAATGTTTTGTCTGTTATTGAACTATTAATGTCACTGTATAACACAGAACTTTCCAAATTGGTGTGTTGTGACACTTTAGTGTAACTAATTACCAGATTTTTTTTTTTTTTTATTAACTAAATTTTTCAATTTTGTTTTTATATATATATATACATTTTGAATGATATATTTGACTTAGCTAACAAAACTTGAGTAATGTCTTTCAGAAAATATTATTTCAAAACATTTGTTACAATGTAAAATGTTTGGAAAGTTTTGATCTCTAGTAGAGCTTTACCAAACTGGTATTTCACAACAATTTAGTGCAATTAATTATCTATTCCTTTTGTGACTATTAACCAAATTTTTCATTCAATTATTTCTTTTTATATAAATTTCAAATGATACATTTGGTGAACTAAACATAAATAATATCTAAAAAAACGTTATTTTTAAAAAGCATTGCCAAATTTTAGAAAGCCCTGGTCTATAGCAGAGCTTTCACAACTGCTGTGACAACACTTTAGTGCAATTTTCTGTTCTTGTAATTATTAAGTAAATTTTTTGTTGAATTATTTCTTTTTTACATACATACTTTAAACTGTATATTTTGATTGACTAAGAAAACCTAAGTAATGTCACAATTTTTTATTTTTAAAATGAATGTCATCAAGGCAAAAAACTTGGAAAGTCCTGCTATAACCTAATAAAATGTGTAAAAAAAAAAAAAAAATCCTTTAGTAACTTTCCTTGACCATATCTCTCCTCCTGAACTTCTAAATTTTCAAATGATTATGTGATTTCCTTCAGGTGTTACTGATTGCTTGGTAAGCCGTAATAAAAATTAGATTACCAATTATATAAATCCTGCTTTTAATGTGGATTAAAAATGATTCTTCACTTCAGAAAATACTTACCCATGTTATGAAATTTTCTGCTCTAAATAAAAGTTAAAGTTGTACTTTTAACAAAACGTTATAAAACATTTAATGATATACAGCTTCGGTGTGCCAAAAATGTTAAATTATACTAAGGCGGATAAGTATACCTGCCTTTTTAAACTCCTATTTTACAAATTTAAAAAAAAGAAACTGCCATCAGAATATTTAGTTTTAGAAGGTCATAAATAATATAATTAATAAGCAAGCCCAATTGTTTAACCTGCAACTGATACAATAACTGTTTTTAAAGAGAAAAAAAGAATCAATTTGATATGACAGTTGTCTCTTTCAGAATGTTTTATAGAATATTTTGAAGAAATGATAAAATGGCTTTATTCATAAAAGGAATCTTCACATTTTGGTTATGTAGTCCCAATGAAGAGACTACAGAATCCATGCTTGTTCTCAAATATTGTGTAAATCTTGGAAAAATCAAATTTATGATAAATTTACTCAACTAACTAAAAATAATCTGCAGGTAGAATCATTAAAAAATGATATAGAACAGGGTTAAGTATAAAATATTAAAAATTTGTCTTGCCTTGTAAAAACTGTGAGTAATTGTTAAATTTGTTCATATAGTTCGTACATAGCCTAGTTAATAAGACAGACTGAACCTTTTGAATACTTGAGGTTTTGTCTTATTGCTGGTTACGTTTTACTATCTGTTTATATTCTGTACATATATAGTAATGTACATTGTGGGAATAATCAAGTATAGTGAAATTATTCTTTAATACTTTCTATATAGACTCATTATGAACAAATGAAAGATGTGTAAAAAAAATAAATAA